ATCTCGATCTTTCTGATGACATCCATTTGAAGTTGTCTTTCCACAATTTCTAGCAGAGGACTCTTGCAGCTAGAATACAGCATCCGCTCTCTTATGCTGCATGTGTATCCAGGCATTGAATAAATAAAAACTATGGACTCTAAGTAGTCTCCTTCGTGGGAATGCTTATACAGGAAGAAATGATAACGTGCCGAATCTTTGGGAATCCTCTTTGGCAAATCTTTCAGTTCTGTATTTGTTGTATTGGCCAAAATTATAATTTCATTTTTTATATCTATTTCCAACTGCACATAGTTCAGCTGTCTGTTATTCAGTTTTTCCAAAGCTTGGAAAGCTTCTCGCGAAATAGGAAACGCTACTCCTTGTAGTGTTTGATGCTTAGTGTCCACACTCACGTCAGTTTGCACCTCATTAATTTTAATCTGTCGTAACTCTTCCTCCGCTGCTGTCAGTGGAGCCGGGGAAGACTGCGAGAGCAAATACTTCTTATACCCGTGTAATGACACATCTTCCTTTACTGTACCAAACACTTCATTCTTAATGTGGCCACCACCAAACTCCTTTTTCAGAGTTGCTCTTGTTGCTGCGTACAACATTTTTTGACGAACATGAGAATGATCAGGAGACCATGCAATGAATATCCACTCATATCCCTGGGCATTCTGAGAATCTAACCTGAATAATATATAACAGGGCTGCTTGTCCTCCAACAGGGGCAACACGAAGGGATCGTAATCCTTATCCCAGGAATCTGAAGGCTGACTACACGATCCAACCACAAGCTGCTCATTTTCAATAGATATTTTCAGAAGTCTATATTTTCCATTTCTAGCTCTGGCAAAGATATCTTTAACATCTTCACTTGCTTGGATGCCGGTCTGGTGGGACATGGCGGCGGCGCGGGCTCCGGCGCGGAGTGCGGCGAGCGGCCCCGGCCGGCGGCTCCAGGAAGTGGCGGCGCCTCCGCCGGCCGGCGCGTCATTCCAATGAAGTAATTTTTTAAAAGTATACAGTGAAAGCTATGAAAATTTCAAAATCTTTTACCATTACCATTGACTTCTCTGGTATACAACTCAATCAAATATAAATATCATTTTTATGTTATTTACAATCAACAAAATTTTTAAATGTAACCTGAAAAAGACAGTGAGCTAGCCACTTAGATAATGTAAACTGTAGAATTGAAATTTACAAAGATACTGAAATATTCTATATGAGAAAGTAAAATATACATAGTTCCTTGATATTTAGAATATCTTTTGTTGAAGTACTAAAACATTTTAAGTAATGATTTACCAGAAAAATTTCTGGGAGTTTTGTCTAAAAATGTTCAGAATATATTTGACTGAGTTGGCACTGTTCACTAGTCAGAACTCTGACCTCTCAACATTAAAATGAAAATACATTAAAGTCTTTACCATCCCTTAAAAGATAGCAGAGGCTGTGGTTAGATTATGGTGCAAACAAAATCTGGAACTTTAATATTATTGTTTTCCTGAAAAGAAGTGTGATTTTTTATAATAACATAAATATCTTTGAATTTTTAATTTATATTATTAAAATGTACATATTCTACTGCTATTTTCAAATAATGTGATGTGTATAATTTTGCAGAGTGCTCTATAAATGTTTCAATAATGATTATTGATAAATAAATCAACCACTCTAAAAATTTCCTTAAGAAAGAGTCATCCTTTCCTAATTTGTACAAATGTGCCATCTGGGCTGGCAGCAGACTTGACTACTGCGGAAGCTTCCTTTCTCCTTCCTAATGACATGAGAGGGAATCTATAATGCCGAGAGGTGCTGGGATCACCAACCTGCCACGTCAAGAAAGCAGAGTGTGAAAATTAAGAGATAAACAGTCCTGGTGATAAGATTGGGGATTATATTGAGCCATCTTCTTGAATAACTCAATTTCCTGGACTACTACATTTTCTTTATTTTATTACATAATTTTGCTCAATCAGGTTTAAGTGGCATTTTCTAGTTTTGCTAATCAAATAATTCTCAAGGATACAAACCCCAAGGAAATGATTCATTCAGAAAGAGCCATTTCCAAGGATTAGAGGGAAAGTCAGTACTTATGTAAACTTTTCTTTGGGTCTCCCAGTGTAAATACCTCGGGTTTCTCTCTGCATCACTATGTAATGGTTAATGACATGGCCTTGATATGGGAAAAATCTGGGTTCAAATTCCTTTGGGCTACTCATTAATGGTACATAAGGATACATATGAGAATCACATGGGATAATTTAGGTATAAAACTTTGTTTTAGAAGGTGATAACCATAATCACTTATCTTCCTTTCTCTGTCAAGGATTTAAGTATCTTTTTTTTTTATTTTAGGGAAGGGTCTACAGGGTATTCAGGGTCTCACTACTAGATCAAACTCATAGTGATCTGCCTATTTACAGCCTCCCAAGAGCTGGGATTACAGGCACACACCACCACACCATCTCAATTGCCATCTCTGTGTGCCTGGGGCGGGACTTGCATCACAGGCCCAGGGATCAAACCCCTGGCCCCTGTGCCTGCTTGCAGGTGCTTTAATCCACTGAGCTATTTGGCTGGCCCTTTAAATATCTTTTTATTCACCAATTGTTTTGTCTTTGGGTTTTATATTCACCATTCTATCCCACAAATATTCCTTGAATATGAAGTATATACTTTGTATGCTCTGGACTGTGAATTCAGGAATGAGCAGTGTGAACAGAAATTTCTCCACTTTCAAAGAGCTTATGCTGAAGCAGGTAAAAATGAATAAGCAAACAAATTTTTGAATAATGAGAAACATTATGAAGACAATACAATAAGGGTGTTGGATTCAGTGTCAGAAACAAGGGCCACCTTCCACTGGGAGGACTTTGGTGCAATGAGGAAAAACAATCCTGCAATGAGAGCATCCAGATCAAGGGTAAGGCATGTGGAGTGGACAGCAGGACAGCAAGACGTAGGCAAGGCTGGTTGGTAGAAACATACAGGAAACAAGGGGACAAAGACTGGTTAGGCAGGAAAATCATCAGTGCCAGCTTGGCTAGAGGATTAATGAAGATACTATTCTAGTGCAACTAGTGCTTTCCAACCACCTTGTGCTTTAGGAGTGTGTATATGAGGGTGGAAAGGGGAGGACAGTGGAGGGAAACAAACAGGATGGAGGAGGTAGAGAGAAGAAGAGAGGTGGGAAGAATAGAGGTAGACAGAAGACAGCAGACAAAGAAGAGGAGAGTAGAGGAGAGGGAGGGAGTGCAAGAGAGAAAATATGAATGAATGGGGATGGGTGTTGGTGCTTACAACTCCAGTAGCATACAGTTTTTCCATGACCTTGACTGACATAGGTTCAGAATCATTGCAAAATTGTCCACTGTTTTTTTTTTTTCTTTTTTAATTTGAGGGGTGATGGAAACAACACAGCGATTGTGGAAGACAGAGTGAATCACAAAGTTTTACATGAACAAAAGAAGAAGCTCTTTTCAGATTTGTTATAAAGTCAACTGCTTACTATGCTATCTATTCTGATCAATGGGTGTATGCAAGAGACAGTGAACTCACTGGGAAAGGCAGGTATGTGGATAGGGAAACAACATTAGTAGAAGAAGAAAGTTTTTATAATGAATGAACATAAGCAGCTCTTTTAAAAAATCTAAAATTTTTTCTGCTGGTGGACACCGCGGAGGAAGCATCATCAGGCTCTCTTCTGACTGCCGTCATGTCTAAGTCAGAGTCTCCCAAGGAGCCCGAACAACTACGGAAGCTCTTCATCGGAGGGCTGAGCTTTGAAACAACTGATGAGAGTCTGAGGAGCCATTTTGAGCAATGGGGAACACTCACAGACTGCGTGGTAATGAGAGACCCGAACACCAAGCGTTCCAGGGGTTTTGGGTTTGTCACTTATGCCACTGTGGAGGAGGTGGATGCAGCCATGAATGCAAGGCCACACAAAGTGGATGGAAGAGTTGTGGAACCAAAGAGAGCTGTCTCAAGAGAAGATTCTCAAAGACCAGGTGCCCACTTAACGGTGAAGGAGATCTTTGTTGGTGGCATTAAAGAAGATACTGAAGAACATCATCTACGAGATTTTTTTGAACAATATGGAAAAATCGAAGTGATTGAAATTATGACTGACCGAGGCAGTGGAAAAAAGAGGGGCTTTGCTTTTGTAACCTTTGATGACCATGACTCTGTGGATAAGATTGTCATTCAAAAATACCACACTGTGAACGGCCACAACTGTGAAGTGAGGAAAGCCCTGTCCAAGCAGGAGATGGCTAGTGCTTCATCTAGCCAAAGAGGTCGAAGTGGTTCTGGAAACTTTGGTGGTGGTCGTGGAGGAGGTTTTGGTGGCAATGACAGTTTCGGTCGCGGAGGAAACTTCAGTAGTCGAGGTGGCTTTGGTGGCAGCCGTGGTGGGGGTGGTTATGGTGGCAGTGGAGATGGCTACAATGGATTTGGTAATGATGGAAGCAATTATGGAGGTGGTGGAAGCTATAATGAATTTGGCAATTACAACAGTCAGTCTTCAAATTTTGGACCCATGAAGGGAGGAAACTTTGGAGGCAGAAGCTCTGGGCCCTATGGAGGTGGAGGCCAATATTTTACCAAACCACGAAATCAAGGTGGCTATGGTGGCTCCAGCAGCAGCAGTAGCTATGGCAGTGGCAGAAGGTTTTAAACACTTCCAGGAAACAAAGCTTAGCAGGAGAGGAGAGCCAGAGAAGTGACAGGGAAGCTACAGGTTACAACAGATTTGTGAACTCAGCCAAGCACAGTGGTGGCAGGGCCTAGCTGCTACAAAGAAGACATGTTTTAGACAATACTCATGCGTATGGGCAAAAAACTCGAGGACTGTATTTGTGACTAATTGTATAACAGGTTATTTTAGTTTCTGTTCTGTGGAAAGTGTAAAGCATTCCAACAAAGGGTTTTAATGTAGACCTTTTTTTGCCCCCATGCTGTTGATTGCTAAATGTAATAGTCTGATCATGACGCTGAATAAATGTGTCTTTTTTTTAAAAAAAAAAAATCTAAAATTAAAGAGTGCTCTAGGGATGGTAGCATTTTAATGAAGACAGAATGCAACAGATAAAGTAGAATTTTGGATGTCAAGAAGTATATACAGGACAATTGTCTTATCTTAGGTTAAAGGACTTCTGGGAGACTGAGTTCTGACACTATTATTGTTTTATGAATCGTAAACTTTTAGTACCTAAGTATTCCATTATTTTGAAGCTGATTTTCAAATTTAGAAGTCAATTTCCATGCAAAGCATATGATTTATTATTATGATTGCTATATGAAGATATGATTACACATTTTTATTCAATTCAATACTTGCCAACAGTATTGAATTCCCTTTAAAATACGTAACTATTGTGGAATATGTATTACAATTAAAATAGTCATATTAGGACCAATGAGGTGACAAGGACAATTATGAGTCTCTGGTGCACTGCATCTCCATCTAGTCTCAGCCCTGACCTCAGCCTCACCTTCTCACATAGAGTTTACCCCTCATTATGTCTTTCCAGTCACTAGATGCCACTTTCCTGTCAAAATTTAAATTCTCCAGATAAAACTAACATGCTAAATCAAGAAATGATTGTGGGGCATACTATAAATTTCCAGTCCTAACTAGGTAAACTGCCATATGTCTATATATTCTCAATACTCAGGTAAGCTGAGGCAGAAGGATCACAAATTCAGTCCCAGCCTGGATAGTTTAACAAGACCATGTCACAAAATTTGAGTTGAGGAAGGGGGTGTCCTGGATACTCAGTACTAAAACAAAACAAAACAAAACAAAACAAAACAAAACAACAAAAGGCTATAACAAACAAAAAAGTTCCTGACTTTTCAAAAGAACTGTTCCTTATACAATTAAACAAAAGTAAAAACATTGAGCTGGGCAGATAACACAGAGGTCTAAGTGAAGTTCCATGTTGGCCTTGGAACCTAGGGCT